TTGTGATACACAAGGAAGTAATATACTCCCACATAATTCTTATTCACTTTCTATTGGGGGAGAGATCAGGAGGACTGAGGAGAATCTGAGATCTCGACACTTTTTGGGTTGTATTTTTCCGCTGTTATAAGGCTCTGCTTTTCGGGCGAAAGTTTCACGAATCACGAATCCGCAAGACCTATGATGGGTACGCGCACATTCCTTGTAAATTACTCGCTCGTTTTCTGTCATGGGTTGTTTTTGGGTTCTGGGTATGCCGTATAAGTGTCTGATTTGAGGGGTTAAATTTGTTTTTCCTGTTAACCTTTTGTTAATTGGCCGGTGGGATTTTGGTTTTTGGGTATTCCCTGGAAGTGGCGATTGGGTGATTCGAGGGGTTAAATTTTTGTTGTTTGTTGGGTCTCGGAGTGATGCTGGTTAAGTTGGGATTACTGTCCTTAATTCGTGGTCTATTGTGTGTTACAACGGTTTTTGTGGTTTAGTATTTTCGGGATTTGGTCTCACTTTGGGTTGGATTTTGTTAATTTTGTGGTCTGTAGTGTGTTGTTAATTGGCTGTTGTCTTCTTAACCTCTGCTTTTGCTTCTGGTCTTGGTTCTCTCTATCTCTCTGGTCTTGGTTCTCTCTATCTCTCTCTCTCTCTCTGGTCTTGGTTCTCTCTCTCTCTTAGCTTGATGGATCTGAAAGGAGGCCGAAGGATCGACAGTGTTCGACTTTATTTTACATCGGTCATCTAAACCACCCAACTATTTCCTAGAAGTTACTCCACCTATTACTCATCTTACATCTACCGGACAGCATTCCCAAAATTTTCAAAAACCTTGGTATTAACCAAATAACTTTCAAATATTTGTAACATTTCAAGACTTTGCATTCTGAAATTTTCGTAATTGAAATCGTGGACCCTAGACATGGACCCAGAGTACCCAACCAGCCTGACTCCACATATACAGAGAGGGCCACACCTTTTATTGCGGTATAGTATTAGGCTTCTTAATTACCCTGCTTGGTATATGGTTATTCCAAATCATCCTTTCCATGTTTCATGATTGTTCAGTTCATTTTGTTTATATTCTCCTTAGATTCTTAGTTAATATTGCTCCCCTTTACATCATACCTTATTGCTTAATCTCTTTCTTTATATACTCATTTCAGATTCTTAGTTCCTTCCTTGACACTCCTAGTTTTAGTATCATATGTCACTGCTACCGGTGGTTCTGCATATCTTTTGGTTGGTTGGTTGGTATTTTGTTCCTGCTTCATCTTAGCTTTTACTGTGTTTTGTGTTCTCAGAGGCCGCTATGAGCTTTTCACAAGGCATAAATGATGAATATGAGAAGTTTATCAGAAGAATGAACCCACCCAGGTACCTATTTTCTTTCCCCATCTTCTTACAAAACTAATGTAAATGTCACTTGCTCATAAATGTATTCCTCTTATCTTGTCAGAGTTGTGATTGATAACGAGTACTGCAAAAACGCAACTGTTATACAGGTATGTGTCTCATTTGTCCTTTTGTGTTTGGTGCTTTGAATTACCTCCATGTTTTTTTGTTTCTTATTATGTGAGCTTCTTGGTCCATCTTCAACTCTGTTGTGCAGGTGGACAGTGCTAACGAACATGGAATACTTTTGGAAGTTGTTCAAGTCCTTACTGATCTTAACCTTATCATTACTAAAGCTTATATTTCTTCTGATGGAGGCTGGTTCATGGATGGTGACCTTTCCCCCCTTATCCTCTGTAGTTCTGTTCTGTTCTTTTTTTTTTTTTTTTTAAACGTTGGAGTAAATTCTTTGAGTAACTTGTCCAAGTTGTTTTTTTCCAGTCTTTAATGTCACTGACCAAAATGGGAACAAGATTACAGACGAAGGGGTTCTGGATTATATCAGAAAGGTGAGTTGGGCTTGGTAATGTTTGCCTCTCCTCTGTGTTTGAAATTCTCCGTTTTCAAATCATATTCGATGTTTTAAACTAGAATCGTAGTTTTCAAGAATCTAAAGGCGGCTCCGGAAATTGCAAGAAAACAAAGAACGAGAAAACAAGTTTCACAAACCGCCGACCAAACTTCTTGGAAAGAATTCTGGCTAAAAATTAGTTCCGAAAACATCAACCAGTCAGGTTACTAATTCCTTTGTTTCATGTGCAGTCACTAGGGCCAGATGCGTGTTTCACATCTTCTGTGAGAAGATCTATCGGGGTAAAACAGTCAATGGACCACACCTCCATTGAACTAATAGGAAGTGACAGACCAGGACTCCTATCTGAAGTTTCAGCTGTTCTTACCCACCTCAAATGCAATGTGGTAAACGGTGAGGTGTGGACCCACAACACTCGAGCTGCAGCCGTGATGCAAGTGACTGAAGAGGAAACTGGGGGAGCAATCACTGACCCAGAGAGACTATCAATGATCAAGAAACTGTTGTGCAATGTACTAAAGGGGAGTAACAAATCGAGGGAAGCTAAGACCGTGGTGTCTCATGGAGGCACTCACACTGAAAGGAGGCTACACCAGATGATGTTTGCTGACAGAGACTATGAGAGATCGAGTGATGATGCCTTGGGGGAATCACAAAGGCCGGATGTTAATGTTGTGAATTGGCATGATAGGGATTATTCAGTAGTTACTATCCGGTCTAAGGATAGGCCAAAGCTTCTTTTTGATGCGGTTTGCACTTTGACAGATATGCAGTATGTGGTTTTTCACGGGAATGTCGATGCTGAGGGACCTGAAGCTTATCAGGTATACGATTTTCCTAGTCTATACATACGTTTAGTTGGTGTCCACGGGGAATTCTGGTAGAAATTTATTTATTTTTTGGCCTAAATATAGAGGCTGAACTAATGGATGTTTCTGTGGCGTTTGTAGGAATATTGTATCAGGCATGTTGATGGCTCTCCTGTGAAATCAGATGCGGAAAGACAAAGGTTGGTTCACTGTCTTGAAGCAGCCATTGAAAGAAGAGTATCTGAGGTAGTGAAATCATCCCATATAGACTCTTTGTGTTATGTTTTACCCAGAATTTATTCATTTCTATTACCCTGCTAAATGGTGTGTTAAATATATTAATCATCCTTAATTAGGGCCACAACTAATACTTGAATTAAGTTGATAAATTTCTCTGAGTTGCTTTTGTTTCAGAAAAAAAGTATTGTCAATAAGGTGGTCAATGGTCATTTGGATTGTTCATGTTAAAATGGTTTCTTTACTCATGTTTTGCTTAAGTTATGCTTGGCAATATAGCTCCATCCTTCTGTCTCATTGTATGTTTAGTTAGATGTATCTGTTCTGTCTCCATAATAGATAAGTTTCTTTGATTATGTTAGAGATGGATTCTCAACTAGTTATAGACCTGTAATATTCAAAGACTTGCTTTGGTTTTTTTGGCAGACTAGCAATATTAAAACAGAAGTTTTGGTCACAGTTTCTCTTTCCGTTGTTCATTTGTTTTTTCCATCCACCAGGGGTTGAAGCTAGAATTGTGCACTGCTGACAGAGTTGGGCTGCTATCTGATGTCACGCGCATATTCCGCGAGAACAGCCTAAACGTCACCAGAGCAGAAGTGACGACGAGATCAGGCAAGGCGGTAAACACATTCTACGTCTGTGATGCATCAGGATATCCGGTTGATTCCAAGATTATCGATTCCATCCGTCAAGCAATCGGCCAAACCATACTCCAAGTGAAGAACAACCCCGAAGAGGCAAACCAAAATCCTCAAGAATCCCCGTCCAGGTTCCTCTTTGGCGGACTCTTCAAATCCAGATCTTTTTGCAATTTTGGACTGGTCAAGTCGTACTCCTAGATGTTTTACCATTTCCCACAAGTGCCACCCCATTGTACATGGAACTCCATCACTTAGCCAGCAAAAGGAAAGCCGTAGATTGAGTGAAGCGCTTGTAAATACGCCTATTTAGTGCTTAAAGTAGGCTTATTATTAGTCTCGTGGATCCAATGCCCCGTTGGATCCAACAAAATTGGAGATTGGAGATTTGGATTGCGTTAGCACGAAACATTTGTACATAGTAACTTCTCTAGCTTCTAAATCTTGCTGCCTTAATTAGTGAAATCCTTGGGTTTTTTTTCTTTGGTTTTTTTTCTGTCTAGTCATACCTATTCTTTGTTTGTGTTCAACTTTCTAGCTACTAAAATTCTTAGGTCCTTCCTTTGATTTAGTAATAGCTTTGATTTGGGTGGCTCCTGTTTTCGTGTTGGCGAGAAGACTAGGAAATTTCTGGTTTAAAATACAGTCTGTTGACTGCTTTCGGAATCTTTGCAAGATGATGACCCACATGAGAAAGTGTCAACTGGGGAAAACTAGGTAGAGAACTAGACCCCATTTGGAAACGTCATTTTCTAGAGAGGAAATTAACATGTCTATCATTTTCAAATCTTTCAAATTTTTTTTTTCTAAGTGGTTGAAGCTACCACCAACCTTTGACCATCCAATCCCCTTTCTGAGCCAGAGTTTTTAGGGTTTGGCAAGGCAGGCGGCTTCCAAATCTTCACTCATGAGCTTGATTATTCGTAGTACTATTGGAGTATTAGGTTTTACCAAAAGATGGATGCATTTGAATGATGAACACTACCCATCCGATGGAGACATACACCAAATCATATTTCGGCTGAATACTTCTTCGATTACGTGCCAAGAAAAACAAAGAGGAGGGTACGGATAGGTGATACTCGATAAGAAACCGAGAAGCGTAAATTGGGTGCGTACGTGACATTTGACATTAAAATATTCGTAACCTTTCTCTTGCTCAAACCCACAACTTAGAACATCGGCATTGGCTGACCATTTGTCCCTTTTTTTCTCCAATAGTTAGTTTTACCGAACCCATGTAGCATACCTACTAGCTGGTAGCATACTGTTGTTGATGACTACAAAAATTACCACTCCCCATGATTAGGACCCCCTCCGGTTAATACCGAAAGGGGGAAAATGTTATTCTGGTTGTGGGTTTCATCATACATAGTGATTTGAGTTAATATAGCAAACCCGAGGGTAGCTCAAGTGGTAACAAGGATGAGCTATAAATTCAGACATCCCGAGTTCGAAACTCGGACACCTCTTGGTTGTGATGTAGATCTATGCAAAAACGTTCCCTCGGTAGAGAAAGATTGTTCTCCCTCTCAGTCCAATTCAATAGAAAAATCATTCTTTTCAAAAAGAAATATTTGAAGTTTAGTTTAGAATGAATTCGGATGATTTTCGGGATTGAAAAGAACATCGAGTTCTATTTTGATAGATCGTTAAACTACTTCCGTCTATACGACGGATGATTAAACTATGAAAATGTTGTAGTAAATTTTTTGGTATTATGAATGATTAATTTAGAATACTGTAGTACTATTTTAAGTGGTAAGCATGTTAATATTTTTAGGTGCTACCTTCGACTATGAATCCTGGCTTCGCCACAGCCTCTTGGGGCCAGGCCGCAGAGAGACATCTCGTGTGAATTCCCTAGTCCTGGAGTGGATGACATACTTTAAGCGTGCTAAGGAAAAAAATAGTCGAGGTACGTGTAAATTGACCCAGAAAGTATTCCTGGTCGTCAAAAGAAAAAAAGAAAAAGAAAAAGTTGATATAGCAACCTAGACCTTGTAGTGGATGTACAATGTACCAATTCATTTTCCATTTCCCATTTCCCATTTGAAATGGTACACATCTTTGACACCAAAAAAGGAGTCTCACCCCAATGGGCAAAGGATTTGATCCATCTTTTTAGACCAAATTGCCTGTATGAAAGCAGAGTCCGGACAAGAGAGAATTCGAAAAGAGGAAAAAAGGGTGATGGCTGAAAGGGTCTTTCTTTTTAAGTATGGCGAAAAATCCCCCACTCATCATGATGATCATATCCTCTCTGCAACTTGCAACTCCATTATTGTTGGTTTGGTTTGTTAGAAGGCGACGTGGGGTGCTGCCACGTGGCATCCCTTGCACTAGATGCCACGTCAAGGAAGAATGTCATGCTGACGCGAGCGAGTAATTATTGAACGTTCCCGAAGTGCCGTATGCGGCCTTGCCTGTGTGGTACTCCCAACTATTGATGTGGCGAAGAATTATCTGATAGGAACGTTATCATTCTTTGTCGTTGGGTGATTGGGAGATAAACGGTGACCTACGTTAGGTGGTGGCGATTTTTTATTTTTGCCACATGGTAACTCTGGGAGTACCGAATAATTGGCCGAAGAGAGTTATCTCTGATAGTACTTGCACCAATGAAAGTGGAAATGCTGTTCGAACAAGTTCTGAAGTGAGGGTTTTTTCAAACCTTTGAATGATTTCTTTGTTCTGGTAATTAATGTTTAATTTTTTTTAAAGTCGAATCTCTGTTCGCAGTTTCTCACTACAATCTTGTAGTGACTTTGCTCACTCTACAGGGTCCCAGATCCTAGCAGAGGATCAATAAAATGCAGCGATAAAGAAATGGTATGCGTTTAGTGAAACTGTTTGGACGAGAAAGAAACCTAAATTGACATCATGTGTACTTAAGTGGAGATGCAGCCCTTTCCAAACCAGAATGGCAAGATAGATTTATGTAGCTGGCTCCAATTAGTTTAGACAGGAGGCTCGGTCTGCTTTAGTTTGATTTAGTGGGTAAAAAGATGTTTTACCTACTGTACAAAGTAAATAAGATCGAGGTTTTTTTACCCGTAATCTTTATTATGTTTTCGTCACAGTTTTCGTTTCTCTCGGTAGTGTTTGATGCTGGCTATATGTTGTTTGGTGATCTATAAAAGCATACAACATAAAAAATCTGGCTGTCCGGCCTCAGCAGCTAATACAAAGGGGTTTCAGTAACTTCATGCAATCACATGGTGAAAAAATGCATAGAAACATGTAGATTCCCCTGCCTGTTTTCTGCACACATCCGACGTCGACGTTTTTCTCAAAATGATTTTCAAATTTTCAATTGCACAGCGCGCGATTTCCGCGAATTTTCTTATAAATTGACGTGCATCGAACCGATGCGAACACAAATTTTATAAAACTTGGTCTAGTCAAGGGTCAATTATTTAAAACATGTAGTACACTTTTGAAAGTTGTCCTGTTAATTTTTGTTTAATGGAGAGCTGATCCACGCTGAAGGGGTTATTGTTGGCTTCACAGTCATTGCAAAATCATGTCTGCCTCCATTTAAATATTGTGGAGAAGTGATGGACTAGTCAGGGCACCCATTGTTCAGGACAGTTTAATTGGACAGGAAAATACTGCCAAATTGGGTTTCTCATTAATAAAAGATGAGTCATGTGATTCTGAGGCTTTGTCACTGAAAGCTTAGTTTTTTGGTTATAAAATATGCATAGAATCCTTCCACACATGAAGGATAAAAATCTTGCACCAGAAAGAGTTACTTTCACCCACATGAATGGTCTATCATGACCATGATTTACAACATATATATGATTTATTAACAAAATCCACCAATACCCATCCCAAGTTTGATTTGCACCCAGAAATCAAGTTGCCGCTTTATGTAGCACGGATACGGAAACGGGGACACGACGATTCTCAAGAAATAGGGACTCAGACAAGGTAGAGAGAACACGGCAGTATATTTTAAATAGTTTTTTTTTTAAGCTGTGCAAACCAACGTTGCAAGTAGGGCTGTAAATGAACTGAGCCGTTCGTGAACTGTTCGAGGCTCGACTCGGTAAAGGCTCGTTCGAGTTCGATTTGTCTACTAAATGAACCGAACCTGAACCTCAATTTTAGGCTCGTTTCATAAATGAGCTGAACATGAACGCAGCAGTATTCGGCTCGATTAGGCTCGCGAACCTAAAGTATATGTGTATCATGGGGATTTTATATAGTTATATAGTAAAAATGTTAAAACTTGTACAAGTCTAAACGTTTACAATGACTAAAAATTTACTTATGTATATGTTTTTATCATTTTATATGTATATGAACATATTTATGTACATAATGAAAATTTTATTTGCAGTTTTAGACCTGTATGAGAGCATAAAAATATGATATTATTGGATCGTTAAGGCTCGTGAACAAGCTCGAGTTCGACCCAAACCTGGGCAAGCTCGGTTCGAGTTTGGCTCGTCATAATTTTCATTGAGTTCGGCTCGAGCTCGAATTCGCTAAAAAACTTAATGAACGAATCTGAACATTCTAATATTCGGCTCGATTCGGCTCGTTTACAGCCCTAGTTGCAAGTGCTAATTGTTTAAGGGAGGACTCCGATTGTTTTCCACCAATGGTGTACGCCTATGCACGTACACTACATAGTTACACTACATTTTATGTAGGGTCCATTTCGGATCCCACAAAAATCCACAAAAATATCTATAAATTCTAAAATATTGTTTTATGGGGTCCTGTAAAAAATCAGCTCTAACGGATATCGGTAAGTATTACTTCTTGATTTGTAGGGATGAAACTGCTCAACTGCGTAATTTCGCCACTACAAATCTAGAAATGATACTTACCAATATCCGTTAGAGCTGCTTTTTTACAAGACCGCATAAAATAATATTTTAAAAATTATCGGTATTTTTTTGGATTTTTGTGAGATCCGAAATGGGCCCCATATAAGATGTGGTGTAACTATGTAGTGTAAAAAGGTAGTGCACCTATCTTTAGTGTTTAAATATACTTTTGGACCAATAATGTTGTAGTTATAAGTGTTTTACGAGGAAAAGTTTTTAACATCCGTGGAGAAAATCTGAAAATATCTTGTATGTTCCCAAGTGTGCCCCAACATGTCCCATCTCAGAGAAATACTGAAGATATTATCGACACACCACGTGGTGTGTCCAATATATGTTCTTGCGCGTTCAAGGCGTGTCGCGTGCCTCCGGAGTGTGCGACACGGATACGGCTACGAGATATCCATAGAAATGTTTGTGCTACGTGGCGCGTCCAATACGTGTCCCCGTGTCTCTCCAACGTATCGTGTGTGCCGAAGTGTCCGACACGGATACGGCTACGGGCTACCTATGGAAATGTAGGTGCTTCATAGCTTGCTCCTTCCGTTATCGTAATCAAAAGTTATTAAGATCTTGGCTATAGTAGGCGTTTAAAGGTGAGACTGTGAAAGTGAAACTGTAAAAGGGAAGAGTTGATGAGGAGGGTGAGAGAGTAAAGGGAGAGGTTTACAGATGGGTGGAGGCCAGCGCAAGATCCACAAGTATAACTTGTACTAACATGTACTTATGCATATAGCTGATTTGGATTCTCTCTCTAAAAGTGATTTTGCATTCTCTATAAAAGTAACTTGCACTTAATTCACTGACTGAAATCCCACCCACCTTAACTCTCTTTTTCTAAAGAGGGACAAGAGGGTAATTTCACTTGACCGCTCACTTAGCATATTACCGACATCCCAACTTAACTCAATGGCGAAACAATTCGGACATATTACTTTCACCATATCAATGAAACAATTTTTGGATTTGCCATGCATATGAGGTTGATCATCAACAGTTGGTGCCATGTCTTGGCAATTGGCTAGTAAACGCCACCGATTTAAAGTTTTCCAAGAAAGATCGATTTACAGTTTGTTTCATGTATGCGCGTGCGTGAGCGAAAGCGTCTTTCGAAAACATGTGCGGTAAAAAATCACGAGAGCGAAGATCGAGAACTTTAGAACAAGAGCCACTTATGACCCCAGCGACAAAGAATGTGATCCAGGTCTGTATTGGTTGTGAACGACGTGCCATGCTCTCTGAGGACAATCGCTGCCCCACACAGGCTGGATCATGTTCCCAGTCAAATATTATCACAGGATACATACATACCTGTTTACATCTCAAGACTCCTCTTTGCCCCATTCTTTTGTTCGCATTTTCGAAGAGAGATCGATCGGTACTTCCAAGTGCTCACAATGGATGGATCCGATGACGACGATTTTCCCGGCTTCCAAACACACATTGTTCCCAGTGAAGAAGAATTGATCACTTCGACAAGGCCTCTGAGCCGGTTGCAGAGGCGAGCCCCGCGTCCCCTTCAGTTGAAGAAGCCGCCCTCCTGTTCCGCGGAATCCAATAAGAAGAGTAAATCGAATTCAAGCTCGAGTTCGAACGGGTGCAGTTTGGATTCCTCCTCGTCAACATCAA